GAAAGAGCAGAACATATTGAGGTCACAAAAAGAAATTCAGTGTTGCTGAAATTCAGTGCATACGTCAGAGAAATAAAACTCCACTTGGGCAACTCACCTCCCTAAATCCTACCCTACTCTCCAGGCAGAGATTTCTATTCAGGGCTGTTTGAGAACAGTCAGCATAGGTGTAGGGGTTGGACCTAAATTAAACTACATGAGTTCAGAAGATTTTTCTTGTTTGTTTTTTGGTTTTTTGTTTTGTTTTTATGATCATGCTAAGTCAATTGAGATAATCAACAGGACCTGGTGGATAGATTCAGTCACAAAAAATGATAAATCACAAGCCTGGTGGGCCTGGAACTATAACAAAAGAACAAGTAGCTTTGTGCTATGGTTGACGTGACTACACAAGCCACCATGGATAACATCATCTAGATTCAAAATACAGGTTTCATGACCTTTTCAAAATGTCCAGTTTCCAAAAGGAAAAGAGATCTTAAATTCATCTAAGTAACAACTTCTAAAGATTTTATTTCTTGCCCAATTAAAAGTAAAATACGTACCTAAAGAAGTTTAATAAACTCATTGGAAGAGTCACACATATTGCACAACCTAAAAGGAAGAAAATATAAATTATGATTATTATTCAAGAGTGACTTTTATAATAATCAAATACATATGAAATATATAATACTTTTAGACCCAGTAAGTTTCAGGTTCCAGTTTACTTCTGTAATGAAATTAAATACTAAATACTTTTCTGAACAACTGGAAGAGAAACAGTACAGTACAGTTGGCTCATTGAGAGCAGAGACTTCGAAGAGCCAGACTGGGCTTGAATCTTGGTTGTACCACCAAATGATTATGTGACTTCAGGTAACTTAACCTTCCAGTGCCTCAGTTCCCTCCTTTATGGAGATAACAGTAGTATCAACTCCACAGAACTTTGAGAATTAAATGAATTATTACATGTAAAGACTCCTCCAACAATACCTGGTATATAATATATTGCTCGATAAGGGTGAGCTATTGGAAGAGGGAATGACTGGTGGGTCCTGCTGCTTCTCATTTATACTTACTTTTGCCTCCCTAGCATTCTCAACTTCTTTCCCTGCCCCACATGCTAGTTCTTTCCCTTCAAACTTAAGAACAAGGGTGGTCTTTCCAAGAAACCTTACCGTTGCTTCTGCTCTCACTATTATATCCTATCACTCATCAAAATTTTCTGTTGCCTTAATTCCTCAACACTCTTATTCATTCTGCCTCCCATTCTGCAGAAGTTGTACTCTTAAAATTTATCAAGCTCTCTTGATGATCAAATGCATATCTTTTCTTTATTCCTGACTGCTACGTAAGATGACTCCACTGACTATCCACTAATTACAATTCTTTCCTCCCTCTGTCTTTGCGATTCCATTCTCCCAATGTTTCTACTAGTCATCCATTACAGCTGATGTCCTTCACTGGCAACTCTATTTCCTGCATATTCCTAACTGAGTGTTCTACTGTGCTTCTTCTCTTCCTCAGAGAATCTTCTCTTACAGCTTTAACCACAAGCTTCCTGCAGATGACTCCAAAATCTAGTATGTACTCTTGGGCAAATCAATCACTCTGAGGTTCAGACTCCACGGTTGTACGATGTGAATGAGTTAAATGATTTTGTAGTGTCCCTTGCTTCTTTAAAATTTTCTGATTCTATGATGTATAAAGGTGTAAATTCCTGATCTTTCTAAATTCTTGATCTTTCTCTCTTTCAAACTCCAAATCAATACATGTGGCAGTTTTTTGGATATTTCATTTGGATAGTTCATTGTCACTCAACATATGAGCCCTAGTTTGTCCACTCTGGATTCCTGGTGACTATACTTGGCTCAGGGATGGGGGTGGGGAGGTCAATGCAGCTATGACTGTAAGGTTCAAAAGTAGAAAAACATCCCTTAAAACAATTCCTAAGACATTTTGCTAAAACAGATGAAAAGACTAGAATCCACCAAACAGAAATTTCATCTCAAAAGATAAATATCTCTACTATTTCCAAGTACAACTGGAACAAAGCATCCCAACTTAGAAGGTCTTAGAGGGAAAAGAAGGAGAAGATAAGTTGTGTACTCGGTGTCCTCAAAAATTTTTAGCAGCTATCCCCATGTCAAGCTGGGAATCAGTGAAAGGGAGCTAGGGCTAAGTGAATTAACACAGAATTACTTGTAGCTCTGAAGTGCTGGAAAAAGGCTAAGAGAAACTTGCAAAAGATTTGCTGCCAAGAGTATTCTGTAGTTTAAAACACCTTGAAATAGATTTATCTTAAGTACAGTAAGCATAAAGAAAAGCTTAGACTCTATAAAGGCTGCCAAAAAAAAAAAAAAAAAAGAATGCATCTACTATTTCTTCTCTAACTAGCACTTAATGTACATTCTATAAAGACTACTTGTTAATTTAAATATTTATCTATTAAACCTTATATAATAGTGACAGAAGCCACACATATACAGACCTGCTGCTTTTCATATTGCCTTAGGAAAGCCCAGACTTCAAAATATAGGAAACTTAATAGCTACAGAAAGAGTAGAATTCATTAAAAAAGAATTAAATAAAATGAGATATACTCCAAGGATAACATGGTAACACAAAATATTTCGGTTTCTCAGATTTCTAGGCTTATTAAATAGGAACTACAATTAAAACCAAAACAAAAGCACCTTAAGGAAAGTGAAAAAGGCAAACAACAAACAAGAAGGAAATCGTAAATTACCATGCAAAAGATCAATATACTTAATATATGAAGAGTTTCTAAAAGTAAAGAAAATGGTTAATAATCCTACAGCAAAAACTGGCTAGATATATAAAAATTACACAGAGAAAAGAAATAACAAACGGCTCTTAAACACTAGAAAAGTGCTTTCGTAATAACAGAAATGCAAATTAAAACTATACAGGTATATCATTTCTTACCTATCTGGCAAAAAGCCAAAGGTTTGACAATATACTACGCTGGTGGAACTGTAGACAAACAAGCACTTTCATACACAGCTGGGGGGAATTCACAATCAACTCATTTGGAAGAGAATATGAAAATATTTAGTAAAATTGCATACATTTGTCCTTTACTAGCAATTATACTTCTAGAGATCTCTTCCAAAATACCCTGGCAAAAGCGTGAAAAGAAATGTATATGTACAAGAATGTACACTGCAGCAATTTGTGTAATAGCAAAAGAATGGAAATAACTCAAATGTCCACCAGTAGGAGGCTGGTCGAATAAACTATGGTATAACCACACAATGAAGCACCAGGCAGCTGTAAGAAGGAATGAGAAAGAGCCTTATATATCACTATGCAGTGATCTCTAGGACATACTATTAAGTGTGTGTGTGGGGTGGGGGTGACCCACAAGTGCAGTAAAAAATGTATAGCATGCTACCATTTATCTACGAAAAGGGGTGATAAAAACCACACACACACATTTACTAATATTAAGAAACAATGAAAAGATAAACCAAAAATTCAAAACTAAGAATGGTTAACTATAAGTGAAGAGAGAATTATGGTAGAGATAGAAGCTACATTTCTTTGCGTATACCTTGTTTTATGTATAGATTTTACTTTGTAATCATGTGAATAGTTTACATAATTATAAAGGAAAAATAAATTTTAGAAGAAAAAGTAATCCCTAAAAAATCAAAAGTAAAATGAATCGAAGTTAAATATATATATTCACAGTTGGTGGCATAGCCACAAAGCAGTAACTTTAAAATATAGTAACCTGACTGGGCATCTCTAGTAGGATAAACCATAAGGACAAATGGAACCTCAAAAAAACAAAATTTAAACCAACTTTCAGTAATCGTGTTGTTGCTGATTTTAAGATTATTGTGGGTATTTTGTAGAATAAAGTAAATAATTACTTTGTGTCTCTGAAAACAAAGACTTTTGTCAGTTTAAAGGACATAAATGTAAGATCAATGAGGTTAAGTAAAAAAATTCTGTATCATCGAATCTGATTTAGAATTATCAGTATGAATTTAATAGCTATTTTGCTAAAAAACAAACTTTATTCTCCTAGCTATCCACTGAATGAATGAATTCCTAAGCAATGACCACCAATGTCTGTTAATGTTATTAAAGAACGAACGCAGAACTTTGTAATAGATGGGAACAGACATAGAATACCTCAATCCCCTGATCAGTATCTACATCAAAACAAAAGAGAGATAACAAGCTATTGTGTGCCTCCTAATGTGATGACTTAGAAGTACCATTACCTAATAAGTACTGTTGCCCCCCTAAGTATCGTTGCTCCCCCCCAAAAAATAAAATTTGTATCTAACCAAGTCTACAGATGTATTAGTTTACAGACTAACATGAGAGGCAGAGGAACATGTTGAATGACACAATGAGAATGCAATTAGCAAAATACGAATGTGAAGAAAATTTTTTTAAAGTAGTCAACAGAAACTTACTCCCAAATGGGCCCAGATGTAGGATTTAGCAAACACTTTAAAGTAGCTATTTTAAATATGTTCAAAAAACTAAAAAAAATATGGTGATAATGAAAGAACAGACAGGGAATCTCAACAGAGAAATGGAAAGTATAAAGAACCAAATTAAAATTGTAGAGCTGAAAAGTATAACTTAACCCATTTCTGTTTGCCCCAAGAATACTCACTGGCGGTGTTGCAGCTGCACCGTTTACCCTGAGATAACCTGCAGATTGCAGACCTAAACTTACACTCAAAGTTTGCCAGAAAATGTCTTGCTTTTACTATTATTTTCACATCTCTCTGGTACATCGATAGTCTTTGGAAACAAATACTTCATTCTATTTATAGCATTCTGTTTTAGTAGTGGTATTTCCATTTACAAAAATATAGTAATTTTTGATCGCTGAAAATGTTAAATCCTAGATGTTCTGCTTTCTGTTGTTCCATGCTTTGAAATTTACCACATGAAAAAAAATTATTAAGTGCTGATCATCATATACAAATGGTACATTAGGATTAGAGACAAGTTCTGTTTAAAAATAACTTCAAGAACAGTTTTACATTTTATTTGCACATTGAAAACCAGTAAGATTTGCTTCAGCCTCAAAGAGAGGTTTATGTAAAAATAAATTAACGCTGGCATCAAGCTGTGCTTTTTTTTTCTAAATGGCAAATGGGTTAAATTATAGGTCCCACGAAAGATTCGCAAGATAGCCTTAAGAGGAGACTGAAGATAGCAGAAGGAAAAAAGTAAAAAAAAAGACAGATGAATAAAAATCGTACTAAAAAGAATAGAGAAAAAACGATTAAAGAAAAATTTTAAAAGCCTCATAAAATTACCTGTAGGAGAATATCAAGAGAAGCAGTCTAATATACATGTAAATGGAGTCCCAAAGGAAAAGAGACAGAAAAAAAAACTGAAGAAATAAACTGTGACTGAAAATGTCCCACATTTAGTCAAAAATATTAACTTACAGATCCAACATGCTCAACGAACATCAAAAAGAATATAAAGAAAGCCATACCTATGCACATCATGTCAAACTTCAAAAAGCCAAAGATAGAGAATCTTACAAAAGTAACAAGAGAAAAATGACACACTATGTACAGGGTGACAATGATACATAAGCTAACTCAGAAACAATGATGCTACAGGACATTAGAATGATGTGTTCAAAGTGGTGAAAGAAAAAGTAAAGGCAAAAATCAAGGCATTCTCACATAAACAGAAACTGGGAGAATACACTGATACCAGACCTCTACTTTAAGAAATACTAAAGGAAGTCCTTCGAACTTCTGAGAAAGACCACCACATTTTAAGTCAGATATACAGAAAGGGATGAAGTGCAGCAGAAACGGTAAAATATGTGGGTAAATATAGAAAACTATGTTATAAAATAACCCACAGGTTACAGGGTAGTGGTGCATTTGAAACAAGATTGGCACTAGTATTGAAAACTGTTGAAGGTGGATGATGGCACACATAGAGATTTATTACATAAAAGTAGAAAGAATAGACAGAATATAGATGTTTAAATTTTCTCATAATGTAGAGTGGGAAAAAATGAGAGCGTGAATCACCTTTCTATCTTGGTGGTCTATCTGTTGTACCCAAACAGGTATCCTTCCATAATCGCAAACACGAGCCCCCTAATGTCCAACTAACTTGTCATCATTCCTTATCTCGCCAGAGGCTCTAGTGCACCCCAGCTATCCCAACACCAGCACTACCAATTTCATCGGGAGAAACTAAGTAGCTTTGGCCCTAAGTCCTTTCTATCTATTTGTCTACTCAAATCTAGTACTGGAAAAGCTATTTTCCTTACTTATATAAAAACATGAGGGCTTTTGTTTTATTTCAGAGGGAAGAATTCAGATAAACTTATAAATTACAAAGAAAATTATATACCTATTAAAATACCCACTTAACATTTAAATATATATCTCATATATCAGAGGATTCCATCTTATCCTTAAATTTAACATTTAAATGTAAAATATAACGAACCTGCCATAGGACAAGCTGCTTAAATCAAAAGATTCACTAGATGGTGAGAGACGAAAAATAGCTAGCCTTTTCAAGGTAAAGAAATCACGGTTTACATAGGTACCAAAAAGTGAACATTTGGTAGATTGCCGCAGGGTTCCTTAAAAAACTGTGGTCCAGAGCCACAGAAAAAGGCCCAAACACTCCTTTTCTAAAAGCCGATGCTTAATGCACCATCTTCTCAGCTGTTTCTAAACCTTAACCTAATTCCCATTCCATTATCAATATTCACCAATAGAAAGAGACAGGGTTATTTTTTAGATAAGGGGACAGAGCAATAACCAACAAGCATGCTTTTTTAATTACTTCTACAAAGACCTTTAGTGCCACTCCTGATGTCCCAAAATAACCCAGGTTCCTCTACGCTTTTGTCTCTTTCCATTGAAAACACTTTCCCCCATTCAATCATTCTATAGATATCCTCTTTAGCCAAAATCAAAAGAGAAGCATTACCATGATCAAAAACCGTTACCTAGCATTCAGTGGCATAAGAGGATGGATACTTGAGATGAACAGAGGCTCAATTTTTGGAGTGGATGTTTTATAAAGTAATCTCTATGTTTCATCTATTCTATTTCCTACAAACTAATAATCTTCACCTTGAGATAAACAGAAAATCTATGCCAAATGTCATCTACAAGTGGATCCTTCAATACAGTCTAGACTAATTTGAATAATTAGTTTACAAGGTTTGTGTGATCTATTTTGGTATTTTCTTCTGTTTAGAAATTGCTTGATGCTAAACAAAAACAAAATAAAACAAAAGAAACCTTATTTTCCCTTAATGATCAGGTTCATATCCTACAGGGTTTTATGGTTGTTCTGCTTGCTGTAGGGGAAGAGGGAAGGGTGTTGCTGCTTGTTATAATCAAACACTGGCTTTGATAACAAAGTGATGTTAAAACAGGCTTCAACATGGAGCTTCTTACCAATAATCATTGCAGTGAATAGGTCTCTATATAAGAAATTAAACAGGAAAGGTTCATACCAGGCCTCAACTCCCACAATCGCAGTCACTATGTAGACAAAAGAAATTGTCTGGAAGGAAAATGCAAACAAAAAGCATACAGAAGCATTAACAGCAGGAAAGTTCAGGGAGTCAATAATGCTTTACGGAGCATAAGTCTAATCGAACAGTTTTAGTAAGAGCAAGAAGTATGCTTAAATTTGACATTGTGGCAAGTCTTTTTGCCTTAAAATTTTTTTTTCATCCAACAATGCCACAAAATAAGTAACATCTAGCCAATGCAAGCAACTGGCCATCATTTGGAACACTTTAAGGCATCTCCTAAATTGGTTAAACCACAAGCTGTTCCAATTTGCCAACCCAATCACTTCCTTCATCAAAAACACTCCAATTTCTCATTCTTTACTGGAGCCTTAAGTGCAAATGGGCAAAATGAACACAAAAA